TTTCAGTGCCCAAGAGGCAAGTCTTATCACAGCCAGAGATACCGAAGCAAATAGTGCACGAGAGCTACGAAACACAAATCAAATCATGCAGGTTTGAACTTTACTTTTTAAGTTTTGATTCTTTTCCCATAGGTCACACTGACGACATTAGAGGAAACAAAAGATCGGAACATGGCTGAGATTGCACAACTACAAAGGGTAAAACATTTGGGCAACTTTGTTAATTATGAATTGAATCTAGGACTATGCTCAAAAAGTGGAGAATCTCAATCAAGTCAGCATGCAAAATGAAGAACTAGACAAACAGCTGGAGAACACAAGACGAAGTGAAAATGGTAAACTTATAATGCTAACTAGGAGGCAGTTAGATTACTTCAGATTTGCAACGACGTTTCAATGAGCTAGAGGAAAGCATGCGCCGTCTACAAGATGAAAGCCGCACTTTGACACGAGATTTTAATCAATGTAAACAAGACAACACGTTAGTTTTTTTGGCATACCTTAACTTTTTATTCAAGCCGACTCGAGCAACAAGCGACCAAAGACAAGGAGAAGCATCGGCAAGAATTGGTAACGACTGGCTTATAAACGTTTTAATTTATCTTTTCAGGAAATTCATCGAGATGACCTTCAGAAAAGTTGGGAGCAATTCAGGTTTCGGCTCGATAATGAACATCGACAAAAGGTTGATAAATATTGTTTTTCAAAAACCTTTTTTCAGCTGTCAGAGTATGAGCGGGAAAGCAAAAATCTGCAAAGAGTTCTCGACAATACAAGAAGGGATCTTTCTTACGCTCAAGCAAAGGTATTCGGTTTTTGTAACGACGCCTTTTTCCATTTTAGGTTCGTGAACTCGAATTGAGTCGGGAAGATTTTGAGCATGCGATAAGGGACGAATTGCAAAGAACGATGATGGCCAAATACAGGGATATGGTCTTTGAGATTGCCCCAGAAAGACGTTTGTTAAATTTAGAAAGCTTCAAAGTCTACCTATATTTAGCAATTCCTCCACAAACGGTCTCGCTTCCAACTCGCTATTTTTCAAACTCCACCTCTAGACCAGACCCATCGGTGTCAAATAAAGAAAATGGTGCTAAATGTAAGTGGTTAAATTAGTATTTAATTTTCCTTTTTTTTGCACGTCATGGCAGATTTTTTAAGCCCCAATGTTAATGTTTGAAAAAATTTTCACAATTCAGGTGATAGTCCAGGAAATAAACATGAGCTTCTGAAGCAGATTATCACAAAAGCTGTCAACAAAAGAAACGATCGACGATCAGGGCGGGGCGAATGATCCGAGACGATGATCGTTAGCTTTTACCATTCTCTTAAATGTGCATTCAATTTTGCTTTTTTTCCAGGATTACTTGTTAAATTTTTCTTTCAAATAGGTTCCAGTCTATGTATAAACAAGTTGTTTATGTCGATACCAACGGAAAACGCTGACTAACGTTCGCGTTTTTCACTGGGAAGGTCCACGTTTTCCGCAGAATCTAAGTGTCTAGTCCTTTTATGCCAATAGCTGCGCACAGACGGACGGACGTCTCTTCTGCTTTATATATATTAGGTTGATGCAAAAGTCTTTTTCATTTTTTTCGTACTTCTGTTAAAAAGTAACAAATTCACCAATTAATCTATAGTTTGCTCTATAAAAAAAGTGTTTTTTGTTCAATTTCCATCTTTTTAAATCAATTTCGGTTGACTTTCAAGCAAATTCGAGAGTGAAAAACGCCTTTTTCGTAAAAATCTATAAAAAACTCTACGGAAAAATTGGCTGAATGAATTTCTCTGAAATTTTGGCGAAATATCAAACTTTTTTTTCTCTATCTTTTATCTATTGACACGAAGATAGGTTTTCTTTAGCTAAGGTGTCTAAACCGCATCATCGAGTTAGCCCTTTTTGACTACCCGACTTCATACTCTCAAGAAAATCCAGGCATAAAATATTTTTAAACCCGTTTTAAAGTTATTTTGCAGAAAAATAATTGGTTTTTCTAATGAAATCAACCGTAGTTTAATTGGTGCATTTGTTGGCTTGAAACGGCAGACGAAAAAAATGAAAAAGACTTGCATCAACCTAATAGTAGATGATTATTTTGCTGGTTGATTGGGTGGCCAATCTCTTACAAATCTTTCATCGCTCTTGACTTTGATTTGCTCACTTTTCTCCTATCTTAACTGCCAAAAATTTTGATTTTACCTTTTGATTGTTTTTGAGATGATCATTTATTTTCTCGTGTTCCATATTTAGCATATCTACCTCATTGAAAGTGAAACTTTAACCCCTTGGGCTGATATTTGTATGTAGTTGACTTATCCTTTTATTACGATAAATTTGTCTTCCAGCTCTCTTGAAATCGCTCGCCAGAAATTTTTATGGTGTGTTTGTTGTGGAAGATGTTTCGAGAAGTGCTCCCGGAGGACACCTATTTTCCCCTCAAAGCTTGCGACCTGTTTTCTTTTTTGAATAGAGAAGGGAGTATGTTTGTGTGGGGATAAATGATTACATACGAGATATACAAAAAATGCGACGAAACGAGAATGAGGCGGTGATTTCCGTAAAGGCTTCTTCCCCAAAAAGGTCTCCTCCATTTCCTCTTTCTTTTCCCAGAAAAGGTTGTTTTCCCCTATTTGCTTGTGTTCGTCGCTTTTCTTCTCGTTCTCTCGTGTAAATGTAAATGGGCTTACTGATTGAAGATTGAGAAGACGACCTTTTCTTTCTTTGATCTTTTTTCTCAACCAGTTCAAACACATGCCAAAAAAACAGCCTCTTGTAGACAACCGAATCACACAGAATCTTTTAGAAATTGCTTTCTCGACTTTGAAAATCTCTTGAAACCGCTTTTTTTTCGAGACTAACACCTCGTTTCGATTTTTCAACATAGGTAATCTTTTTTCATCTTGTTATGGTCGGCTGTTTGTGGTGTTTTGGAAAATGGGATGTTAAAATAATCCAAAGTCTACTGCCAGCATGAGTTATAAATTAGTTATCGAAAATATTATCCAACTTTCAGTCCAAAGAATTTTCCCAACCTGCGTTGTCTTCCGAGGTGTGAGAAACGGCGCCGCCGTACTTTTTTCCAAATACAATTCTCCGGAGTGTGCAGCGGTACTCCTGGAAAGGTGGACTTGATAATGACGGTAATCAGAACATTTTGTCCATAAAAGTTTTCTCGAACGTAAGAAATAGCGTATATTATGTTAAAGATGGCAAGCATGAGAACTAGGTAGTTGAATCTGGTTTTTTTTGAAACTAGAACAAGCAAATCTTTGGCATCAAAATCGTCATTTTCACCGTAATTGACAAAAAAATCTAATTACAAAAAGTAAATTTGTGAATTCGCAACAGCGACTGTATGTCTTTTTGACCAAATTTCAGGTTAGACTTACTCAAGAGGCTGACCCAATGATCCATTTTTAAGGTTATTTTATAAATGCATTTTAGCAATAGCAATAATATGGTTGATTGACTGATCAAGCATGCTGTCTTTACAATAATTGGTTTCACTCAGCATCAAGGCTGTTCCTAGGACCACATTTCCAGGCCAAGGCCAAGCCAAAGCCAAGCCAATGAGCTAGCTAACTTAGCAGCTAACCGGAATCGAATGCAAGTAGGGATAATCAGGGACGGGGATTACGGGGAAATCATCAGATTTGAATTTATCGGGGTGAAAAATACGATTTTGACGATATTGATGTACGAAAATTTGTATGGATTGCCTAGAATTTGCCTAGAATTCTTGAAATGCTAATTGGCTTAACGAAAAAATCTAATTACAAAAAGTAAATTTGCGAATTCTCAACAGCGACTTTTTTTTGGCCTTTTTGACCAAATTTCAGGTTAGTCTTACTCAAGAGGTGGACGCAATGATCCATTTTTAAGGATATTATAGAGCTCTTTACAGTACAGTTACAGTATTACAGGCCATTTTCAATATTAATTTTTAAAAAAACACTCCTGTCTTAACTGCCAAAAATTTTGAATTTCTTGGAGCCGACTTGTAAATAATAGAACAAAATGTTCTTGAATTGGTGGATTCGTTTTTAAGAAATTCCAGTCAAACTTTTTCCGAGAACTTTCTTTCCAATCTAATAGATTGTAAGCTGTTTATAACAAATTAATACTTGATTTCCAGACTGGTCTCTCATTGGCACCGGCAGTGTTAACGGTTATTGTTCTGATCGTCGGCTATATTGCAAACATATCATCGATTCTTACAGGTTCGTTTACGAAAATGGTATCATTGTTGCTGAATGAGAAATCATACTTTGAGGGGCAATGGGATGTGGAATTTTTAGCCAAAATACTAACAAATACTAACAAATACTAACAAATACTAAGGCATGTATCTCAGAAATTTGAGCATAGTGACGCCGGGCCGGCGAATCGATTGGAGCTATTCATTTCATTTTGAGTCTACCAGCTCGGGTTTAATTGGTCTAAATAGACCTGCTTAACGAATCCGGGAAAAATTCTCAGCCAGTCTACCGGTTTGGTTTTTTACTACCCAAAACTCCTTCGAGCACGAAACCCCGTTCCTCCGCAAACCCTTATTTCTTTAGGCTTCATTTTGATACTAAACATGGCTAGATTCTGTTTTGCCATTCTTTAGATTTCCATCATTTCAGATAAAAAATTTTCTGGACTCGTTAAGCTTATCGAGTCCCGCTTTGCTTTTTGCTTTGCTTATTATTACTTAATTTTAGCGTCTTCCTGACTTATTTCACCAACACAATATCAAATAAAAAGTTTATATACGATCTATGAAAAAAAGAAACAACAGCGAAATTTTGTTGTCAATTTCAAAAATCGAGGTGAAAAATGCAAAGATACAAATGTGCAAAGATGGAAAAATACTTTAGAAGTAAACGTGAAAAATTTTATGAAGGTCAAAGTTATTAATTAATTAAATGAGTGAGTGAAGATGGGCGAATAGGTGAGTTGAAATTTCTGTTGCAAGATCTGTTTCTCTTCAAAAACCCCCGTTCTTTCTTTTTCATTCGAAGAAGAGACGGCGAAACTTCTCGAAGAAACCACCTCTGAAAATGTTCAAGTGTTTTTAAGCTTGCCAAGGATTTTGTAAGACCCAAAGCTTAATACTGTAACCAGGCAAAAGTAATAGACTCACGCTAAGTAACAAAAATATCTTTAATCGTGTCTTAATATCCGATATAACCCACCCCCAGAAAAAGAACCTGAAACCATCATCAGAAGGTGGGGCAAACTTTTGCACCACCGCATTGTACGTTGGTGGGGCAAACTTTTGCACGCTTTGTTGTTGATTCATCGAATATCCGCGCACAGTTTGCTCAAAGAGTTCCTTGAGTTTTGCACCAAAATGGGGTAAAGCGAAGAGGATGGCTTTCATATTCTTTACATCATCGGTGGTGATGTGTTGCTGATGATTTCCGCCGGATTGCAAGGCGTGCTCAATGGCGGCTCGTTCTGCAAAGTGGTTGATTGATTAAAGAAATACCACTAGGTTTTAGATACTATCCGCTATTTTTCATCTGAATGAGTTCCTCTAAACTTTCTAGGTTTTCTAGAGCGTTTGAAATTGAAAATACTGTAATTTCAAAGTTCAAAGTGTAGCTACAATGACCTATCCTTAGTCCTGCTTAAAAATTCTAGATTCTTACTGGACTCCAAACTCAACATACCCTGTCGATACTCATCCAAACAGCGCTTCAGATTGGCCAGTTTCGTTCGATCTCCGCCCGCTTTGATACATTTTTTCTCTTCTTCAATCGACTTTTCCACATATTTCTCAAAAACATCGTTATAGGTCATAATCGCATTCTGCTTCAAGAAAACCGCGTTACGAATACTTGCATCCATCACAGTTTTCCGTTCATCTTTGTATTCTTTCACGATTTTCTCACACGATTCGATAATTTTCTGCTTTGTGATTCGAGCGTCTTCATTCGTTTGAATCGCATTCTTTATGTTCACATCTTCAACTGATTCGTTCGTTTTCACTTGCTTGAAGCGAATGTGCATGTGAGTAGACCATAAACAACCACAAACTGTACAACTTTGCCCACCCCGCATTGCACAACATTGTTGTAGCTGAGGTTCGGGGAATCTCTCGGGATCAACGTTGTCCAATTGACAGTGATCATGACAAATCTGTTTGTAGATCGTTTGCAATTGTTCACTGTTCGGAATCGACTGCGTTTCGATGCATTTCGGACCCGTGCAGACGGTCATCGGATAGCTGAGTTCCTCGGTTTTGATTCCAATTTGTGGGATCAACAACTTCTGTTGCAAATCATTGATCGTCGCTTTCGTGTTTTCAATCTCGACTTTTCGATCATCATACACTTTGATATTTGTCTCAATCAATTCATTAATGTCAGCCAAGGGTTTAGCCAGTTGGAGAATGATTCCACGAGCTTGATTCACTGAGAGAGTCTTGTCAACAGAATGCGGTTTGCATCCAGCCGCATAGTCAAGGAAGCGATGCGTCTCATCAGCCGATTTTGCCCAACTCGCTTCGAAATTTTTCATGTCATCTTCGCTAAACTCAACTCCATCGTGATAGGCACAAACGAATTTGAAAGCCTCGTTGTCCAAGCAGAAGATCTTGCTCGGATCAAGAGCCACTTGAATCCCGTGTTTTGCTTGAAGTTCATCGAGAAAAGCTCTTAAAGGGACGATTGTATCCCCTGGTTTGTAGAAAGTCCCACGGGCATTCGTGAAGAAAAACACGATATTCTTGGCGGCATCTTTGTGCAATTGAAGTAGCAACTCTCCAATGCAATATCTAAAGCTCAACGTCATCCGAGCGTCATTCGATTTGAACAATAGACAAATTGCATGTAAATTCTTGTAAGCTGCAATTGCATTCAGAATTTTCCTTGTATTCTCCTTGTCTTGTTCAATTCCACGAACATCTCCAATGCCAGGTGTATCAATGATATAAACATCATATTTCGGGTGTGGGAAGAGATAAGTTCGAGCGTCTTGTGTCGCGCTTTGTCCTTGTCCAAACACTTCATTCGTTGAGTTCCCAATGACAATTTGTCGTTGCTGATAATTCTCGTCGCACATCGTGAACATTGATGGAATGATACAGATCGGCTCTGGTGCTTCCAATGCATCGGCAATGTGATCAAAGCTCATATAGTTTGCAATGCCATTGATCCACGTCGATTTTCCGACTCCCGTTTCACCGAGTACAAGAATGTTGATCTCTTTTCGAGGCCCAGAGTATTGGTTGTTCTTTGATTGATGGGAAGTGGGCAAGTCCGGCAAAACTGGCGGATTTCTCAAAGAGCTTGGCTTGCCTGAAATTAATTTTAATTGAAAAATTTGTGATGTGACAAAATTTATTGTTTTTATTCTTTACCTTGAGGTGTAGCATCAAATCGTTGAGGAATCGCCGATGAAGAGTTGGATATTTGTTGATGCATCGGTGGAGAGAGAGCAGTCAACACGGGCACTGGACGAGGATTTGCGATCTGAAAATTGATATGCAGATGACGATTATGAATAAATCAACCCGTTCTCTGTAAGGCGACCCCGAAGAAATTAAAAATCTACTGTAAACCATTGCAAAAAGATACATTTACATACAATTTGAGAGAACTAGGAATTATTTCTGATTAAGATCAAGTGATTTTTCAAAGATTTAAGAGTCACTAATTGAAATAGCATTACCCTAGTATTAAAAAGTACAGTAATCCTCGATTTCTTGAATGTTTTAATGCTTAGGTAAATAAATCTCCACTCACTTGCTCGAAATCCTCGTTCTCGGCATCCGACGAATCCGACGAGAGCAAAGCGCTGTTTTGCAAGTGAGGCATCGATCCGTAAAGCAGTTTGTTTTGCTTAAAACGATAATTTGACAAGTAAACAGTATTTAAAATTCAACCCAGAAAATCTCTTGGATGAGATAACCAAATGGAAAATGAAAGAAAGCATAGTAGTGGATGGTTTATTGACAAAATGAAATAGTTCGACAATGTTCTTGATTTTTATTTTGGAGAGCCGCCAAAAAATGACTTCACCCTCTTCTTCACGCCACTCACACCGGCAGAGACCCATCTGAAATTCATGATTTATTGGCAATTTTCTGGTATTCATATTTACGATATGTTCCTCTTGAATAGTGTAGATCAATTGACCTAAACAAGAAAATTAATAAGTCTTGATGCAAAAACATACCCAATCCATCAAAAGCTTTTGGTACTTTAAATTCGGCCTTATTAGATACCTCATTCTTCGCCATGGCTGTTTCACGTTGTAAATTCGCTCCTGATCCAGCATGGCCAAATGAAATCTTAAAAAAAGCTAGTATAAATGGGGGGAGAGGGATCTGACCTCTTTTTTTGATGTACTTAGCGCAAGTTCCGATGCACCAGGCGATAATTGGCTTCTTGACTTTAAGTTTGGACATCATCTTGATCACGTCGTATTCATCAAGCCCTCCACTTTCACCAAGCAAAACGATGATTTTCACACTACAAATACATAGCAAAATTCTTACTTTTCATCAAGGATGTAACGTGCAACGTGTTCCTTGAAAGTCGATCCAGGATATCGATCGCCACCAATTGCGACCCCTTCGTAAACGCCATCGGAATTGCGGCTAAGCTCTCAAGTAAACCTAATGGCCAACGTTATACCTGATGATATTGTTGAGTTCATTCGATAAACCTCCAGATCTTGTAAGGTAGGCAACGCTTCCGGGCTGGTACAACTTGGACGCCAAAATGTTGTCGATCATTCCACCCGTGTTTCCAATCTTGAAGCATCCAGGCTTGATGCCGCCAACTGTCGTCCAACAATCGTAATCTAAAAACAACTGTTTACTAAACATATGCTTTCAAAATAGTACCCTCTTTGTATCGGCGATCTTGATCAAATGACGAGTTAGTCGCTCAGGTACACCCTCGGCAATGATGGCAACAAGTTGTAGTTGAGGAATTTCTTCCAACGCTTCTTTAACGACTTCGTAAGCAGAGCGGTAAGATGCAAAGCATACCTGAGGAAAAATTAATTATCATTAAATCAATCAAAGTTACTCACCAGCACCGTCGCGTTTGCTTCATCAAATGCTTCTTTCATCGAGCGATAGCTTGGCAAAAACTTCTCCTCTTGGCCAAAGTAGAATTTGTTCATGGTGTTATCCGAATATGGATAAGTTGAAGCTGCCACAGACGGCGTTGCACGGCCACACGCCCAATCGAAATCCAACATTCCCTAAATTACGACAAATAGTAACAAACCCTTTGGTGAAACATACCTGCATCGCCTTCTGTTGCTGTCCCCAAACAACCGCTGTCGTCTTTTCGTTGAGGGTGAACGAATTGGCGGCAACTTCCGCTACACTTGGCGGTTCCGGCAAACGATTTGAGAGAAGGAGCCGAGGAGATGTTGTTCATGTAAGTCGACGCGGTATCATCGTTAAGCTCTTCCAGCTCTTCCAGCGACTGCTGCTTGGCGTGTTTGCACGAGATCGAACCGTCCGCCTAAAATTGTCTTATTAGAAAAGCGTAATATTTTAGTTGCTAACAATTACTAAATACAAAACGCACCGATACAACAAAATTTGAATGGTTGTCTTGAACGTCTTCTGGCAAGTCATCGCCCTTCAATCCAGCGCCAACAATCGCGGTCAACGGCGTCTCGGGTCCATAAACGAAGATGGGGAGATCCAAGCGTTTTCCAGCATCCTTCATCTTGCGCAAGCCTTCTTTGTGATTTGGTCCACCTCTTCGAACGTAGATGGAGATCTTGTGGGCTTGGAGTTTCAATGCAAAGCTTTCGATCGCTTGGATGATACCCTAAAAAATGTATTAATGTACGGGCCAATATGTTTTACCTGGAAAGTCTCTCCAACATTGGTAAAGTTGGCAATCGATCCACCGATGAAGAGCAATTTCCGTGGGGTTTGGCTCCCCTTTAGTCAAAAAAGGAAGGGGGGGTGGGGGGGTTTTTTTTATTTTTTTTCAAAAAAAAAAATGTGGGGGGGTAATAAAATATTTAAAAAAATCCTGAGTATTCTCCATAGTTTGCCAATTCCGCGACGCCACCAAGCTCGCAAATTGCATCACTAAAGCAATACAATTTTATCACACGGGAGTGTGTATTTTTTATTTAAAAATTAGAAAAAAGACGGCGGCCCCCCCCCCCAAAAAAACCCCCCAAGTCCTTTAGGATTGAGAATGGTGAGTTTCAACGAGGCTCCAGTCACATCATCAAGAGAGCTGATGAATTTCTCTTCGGCCGACATTGCGAGTCCAAATGGTGCAGGGAATTCGATTGGCTCGTCGTATCGTGACATCCACTTTGTCTTGCAAAGAAACGAGGTGGTTTAGTCCACCTTCGCCGCCAGATCAAGAATGTAAATTCTAGTATCGTTCATCAATAAAAAACCATTTTACCATGCTAACAAGTTAATTAATACCAAGTGGGTTGATCTCCAAATAGGTGAAGTGATAGCTTTTGTACGCACGATATAGCTCATCGATGAACCAACCGAGTTTGCTAAAATTCAACGTTATAAAAAAACACAAAGAGATTTCTTACACGAATAGTTTCTCGTCAACTCCATGAAGTAGACTAACGATTGAAGAGATTTCAGGCACCATCGAATTCTCCACATCGACTGGAATTTCGAGCATTTGGCAATTTTCATTGACATCGCCGACATCAACACCACCTATAAAGCATATTAAAGATTTTGTAAAGCCAATAAACAAACATGAAAACAAAATCGCATCATGATGTGATTTTGTCACTCATAATCGCCACCTAAAACCCTTGTTCCGGCTTATGCTCGACGAAAGTTTCGAGGATGAAAGTGTCTAAAGAGCCACGCACGTCCTCAATCTAAAAAGTGTTTATTATGGTGATGAAAATCACAAGCGCACCTCGCGTTCCTCTTCCTGCATCTTGCTGAAAACCTCCTTGATTTCGCACATGTTTTCCATAACGACCAATCCTTGTTTTCCTTGGCGCTTGATTAGTTGATCCGGCTTGATGACCATCTTCTAAAGTAAGCATATTAAAAAAGTAAATTCAAACTGCAGCTCGCTACTTTCTTATAGTACATTAGTGCAACTAAACTCGGTTAATAATCGTGTATGCTCATCATTTGTTATGACCGGTTCCCACTAATGAATGACCAAAAGATCCGCTCGATAGCTCGACGAAACCAAAACGAGAAAGGTTTCCTAGTTTGCTAATGCTTAGCTCAACGGCTAACAACACCAAGTAATATGCGCTTTAGATAGCTTATAGCTAACAACATCAACAATATACCGTATTTACTCGAATAGAAGACCGGTCTTCTATTTTTTTTCAATCACCCCTAGACCCCGTCTTTTATTCGAGACCGGTCTTCTATTCAAGACGGTCTTTTATTATTGGGTTGGTGAACTGAAAACTGCGGGACTTTGAACTGAAATTTATTCAACATAAAACCATCAATTCATTCCAAATAATTTCCATTATTATTGACGATTTCTGTCTATTTTACAGGCAATTTGCGGATTCCTCTTTCGTAGCAGGATTTGGGTTTGTGTGTGAGACAAGTGTGAGACTCAAAAATGGAGGACTGGAGATGTCCCAGTTTGAGCACTTTCTTCAAAAGAACCCCATTTTGGTGTCAATGGAAAAGTTGTAGAGAATCAAAAATTAGGCTTAAAGCCAAATTGCCAAAAAGATACACTTAGTAGTTCCGCTTAAAATGCAAGTTTTGTGAAAATTCGTAAATTTGGCATTTCTTGAAAACCAGTTTTTGAATCATTCTGAAAATTTGGATGTAAGCTTAATTTTTGATTCTCTACAACTTTTCCATTGACACAAAAATGGGTTTCTTTTGAAGAAAGTGCTCAAACTGTCACATATGACAATAGCCCGCAGTTTTCAATGCACCAACCCAATATTTGCATTCACGAAAATTTTCAGGAAAATAACCAGCGTTTAAAAAAAACTTCTTTATAGAAATTTATTCTAGCATTTAACAACAAAATTGTGCTATTGAATGAAAATATAATATTTTTACCCTATTGGGTAAATTCCCTTATTCTTTTCCCGTATTTGAGTACGGCCACTTTCGCGCAGAATAGAAAACAGGGTACCTCGAATCTAAGACCGATCTTATATTCGAGACGGTCTTCTATTTTTTTCGATCGTCCCCTAGACCCCGTCTCCTATTCGAGACGGTCTTATAATCGAGGCCGGTCTTATATTCGAGTAAATACGGTAGGTTGGCGCTTTTATTTAACGGCAGTACCACAAAGCAACTGCTTAACCCAACAATCACAAAACGTACCGAGCTCAAAGTATAGGGGAGGGAGAGGCTGCGGTTCGCCTTCTCGCACGCTTCGACGACCTCCTCAAAGTTATCTCCTCAACGAAGACGCAACATGTTCGGAGTCGAGACGAACAGAGTCACAATCTGTGGAGGAAGCAATCAAATGTAGACTTGCTTATCGATATTATCGATACAAACGGCATGCTCATGTTTGACCGTTCAGATCTCGGTTTCTAGAACAGCTATCAATCTGAAAATTGTTTCATTGGAAAGCCAAGAACGTCAGCTTTTGATTGCTATTTTATACGTCTGACTTTTAATAAGTAAACACTTCATAAACCATATCGATACTTATCGATATCAAAAGTATCGATTATCGATAAGTATTGATAAGCTTTTTAAGGCACTCAGCTATAAGGATTTGTGTGAGATAGTAATCAAAAGCTGAAATTCTTGGCTTTCCAATGAAACAATTTGCCAAACAATGAATCATGGCCCGGGTTTTCCATATTTTGATAAAAATGTCGATGAGGAGGAGAT